GTCTGCATTCAGTCGGAGCGAAGGCCTCTCCTTCCTGAAAGTTAGGCAATTCCTTGTCTGACCACTTGTCGTACGGGAAGACGTCCAAGTAGTTGCGCTCCCGGATAATGAGACCTCGCATGGTTGCCTCAATATCCTGTTGGACGTATAGACGGAGTGCAGAACTTACCTGTAGCGTAGAACTCCTCGTTACCATATTGGACATCAATTGTCGTTTGCCAACCAAGGGCGTCCTGAGAGCAGCATGCGAGGAATCGACGAGTGATGTATTCGTATACACGTTTCTCGTCTCCCGCGAGGTTTGCGGCGTGCGCCGTTGGATGAATCGGCGGATGTGCATGGTCGTCCTTCTTGCCCCGTCTAGGCGAGTTGAAGCCGCCGTTCTGCAATCTGGGGGAAGTGGTGAGCATCCCACGGACCAACTCCCCAGCAAGTTGAAGCATGCATACACACCCACTAGCGAATCCACCCCATGCGGGGTCTGCCGTCTGCTTGCCTATGAGAGTCATGAAGTCAAACTGGGGATCGAATATATCGGTCTCTGTACGAGGATAGGACAGGAATCCTCGCTGGTATAAACTTTCCGCGATCTGATATGTTCATTAGCCTCCCGCGGCATCGACGATTTTGGTCGCTTACGTCCAGAACGCGCTTGGGGGATATCTTCAGTAAACGAGAGCCTGCCTTTTGTAGGTCCACCGTGGTCAGTGGATATGGCTTCCTAGAGTACGATTAGCCTGGAAGTGGCTCGAAATCATCCTGCCACACTCACCATTTCTTGGTGTCCTTGACAGTGACCTTCGCCACACGGGCAAGAGGGTGTGTCAATGCAGCTTCATACAGCCCCCATGCCGCATGGAAATCGAATAGATGGCCCCGTCGCCACGTGAACACAGTATCCACGGGTTCCTCGTCGGAGGACGACGGACGAGTGAGAGAGAGATGGATGAACCAGAACGGCTCGGGTTTGAAATTCTTCACTTTGTTGTATCTGGCCACGACGAACCCAAGGGTGGGAAATTGACACGGTCCTACACACAGTCAAGTTGGCCGCACCGTACGTGATCGCGAGCAATGCATACCGTAGGAAATGAGTTCTTTCTTCAGGGCCTCGTAACGGTTCTGAAGACTGAGGGTTTGTAGGCGAGTGAACGCAGAACCGATTCTGAGGTCTAAGAGGATGCGAGCCTCCACCGCAGAGGATTGAGCCATGTCTAGTCGCACTGGGTTCTGAGCGGCGTGGTGGATTTGCCTACCAGGCGTCAGACATAGTGGACCGTGTACATACCGTGCATTGGTAGACGTACTGAGCGATGATGGCGCTGAAGCGAGCACGCCTGACTGAAATGTTCGGATTGGCCTGCTTACATATGTTCATGATCTCTGCACCAATATTCTCGCCTTCACGATCGCAGTCGGTCCAGATCATGAGCATTTGCGCTCGTTTCGCTTCGGTCTTGAGGTTCTCAGCGATAGTCTTAGATTCGCTCTTGATCTTGCACTCAACAGGGGCCTCAAATAGAGCAAATGGATCGCAGGAGGTCCATTTAGAGTACATAGCGTTAAAGTCGTATTCCATAACGTGGCCCGTTACCGCCGTTACGGTAAAAAACGAGTTCGTTTGAGGATAGTTGAAGTCATAGTTCTTGATATATTGGTTGCGACTATTCCTCTGCCATACGTCTAGCGCGGAACTCGAGAGGAACAAAACACGGACATACCGTGGTGTATTGGCCACCCGATAGTATCTGCGTAACGGACTTCGAGATGGACGGTTTTTCCGCAACACACAACACCCGCATTGAGTCAACGGGTTTAAGAGAGCAGTATCGACCTGCGGAGAAGACGCGGAGAAGCCTGGCGCTAGGCAGTCGGTGTAGCGAAGGCCCGAAAAGGAGTCTGGAGGCTAAGTGGCGAGGAATAGTGACGGATGTTGTACAAATACTTGGGTGTGTTTGAAAACGATGTTGACTGACCCTAGACAACTGAGTCAAGGTCTGAGTGATTGTGTGATGCAGCGAGCAGACATGCAGTGTAGGGGGCGAAACCAGAGATGATGGTTAGAGGCCAAGGAGTAAGGACGTGAGACGCGCCTCGCGTCCGTACGCGTCGCGTCCCCACGTGATCCTGCTTTTGGCTCGAGGGAAGCGCCCATAACGTCGTGCCTCAACTCTCGAGTAAAATGGCTTGAAGCCTTGAACGTCTGCACCCTAGTTGAAAGTGTAGATAGTACAGCAGAGAAAGTGTGTTTTGCTGTGAAAGGACTGCAGAAAGCGAACAATGACACTAAGGGCCCCGTTTAATCAACTCCGCCGCTCCCTCCGTGCCCGCAATTCTCTCTAGGCGCAACCAGTCATACTTCGAGTACAATACCCGGCACGTAACGTCAGACGCGTCAACATCGTCGTCCAGGAATGGGTAAGACAAGTATTCCGTGTAGAACTGGGGGTGGTCCGGAGGCCCATAGAAGATGAGGTTACGAATGCCACGGATTTTGTATCTGAAGACTGTGAGGAGAGTCTTGTGGCGTTAGAGACAGATATTACCAACCTTCGGAAGAAATGGAAACGTTCGCTGACTAGGAGGAACGCCTTCTTTCCAGAGAAGAATGCTTGACGAGCGCGTGAAATCTCTTGGTTGGAAGAATACCTGACGATGAGGAAAGATTGTTGAGCCATGCTGCGCTCGCGTTGAACGTTGTCTGACACTCACTCGGAAAGCACGGTGAAGGAAGTGCCCACACTCTTCCTGAAGTGGTTATGCACGCGAATGAAGTCAAAGGAGGAAGGGATAAAAACGACCGTGTTGGCGCTCTGGACTGCTGACTTCAGGATGACGGGTAGCAGCTAGAGCGGAAAGGTTTAGTAAAGGTCAGGAATTTGTAGCTTTGCGAAACTAACCTGGGTTGTAAAATATTGAAAACGCTTCTCCGGCTCATCCTTAGGATTGCTGCAGTCGAATTGTACGAATTGCTGCACCGGTGTCAGGTTTAAAATGACAACATAACGTGTGAAGCAGGACGCTCACTTGGTCAATCCCCTCCGGTACTTCGATGGGAGGCCATCTCCTTTCAGTCCGAATCCTTCCAGCAACATTCTTGAGGGAGTGGTTGAATAGCGCACGTGTCTCGGGAGTCTCGTACGCAGACAACAGGATTGATTGACGGAGGTATGCAGCACTGCGCTGATTTAAGCGGAATCTCAACAATCCCGATGTGGTCACACTCACTGTCCATCTAAGTACCAGGGTTTGATCCGGGAGAAGTCAACGTCGTGTGACTCCTTCGGCAGTTGATTGAGGTGGCTCATAACGAACTAGAGCAGTATAAGCACAACAGTCCTTGAGAAAGGGTCACAATTGCATCGCACGTACCTGAACGTGCTCCCAGTTTTGCATGGTCAGAGCATCCATCTGGTCTACGATCAATAGCTCTATGGAAGACAAGAAGTCCGCGCTCCTGAGTTAGAGACTACCGTCAGTACTATGAAGTCATAATCGTAACAAGAAAAAACCCTACTTTTCCTTCTCGATGGACATCCTCAGACCGAGAGGGCTAGCAATGATCAAATCACACCCGTAGAACTCCGCGAAGAGCTTGACGCTCTTCCGCGTCATCTTGACCCCCAGTCTGAAACTATCATCCACATTGCCCTTGAACATCTCGACATGGTCTTTTGGATACATCCCGGGTTCTGCATTGGCGAGCTTGTCGACGGCGCTGGCAGGTAGGCCGTATTCAGAGTGGAAGCGCGAGTTGTTCTCGATTTGGTAGTCTGGCGTCGGTGTGTGTGTTGTAAGCGCCGATACCCACCGGAGAGCAAAGGAGCGAAAAGGAAGGAGGATGAGGACCGAAGGACGGGTGAAGCCTTGATCTTGCACGTCTTCAGGAGGGGGGTTGCCGGCTTTTGTGGCATGTGAGATGCGCTCATTGTTCTTCAGAACACGACGACGCTTTCTGAAACGGAAGATGTCATAAGATGTCATGGACATTCCCTGAAGTTCATGGGAAGCACTAACTTGGTGATATGGTTCAGAGCGTGGAGGGTAATAGCCTCACGCATGCTCGCCTGCGTCTCCAAGGATGTCCGAGTAACATATAGATCGCGGTATGACGATAGTGTATTCAGCAAGTCGTTCTGCAGCTCCACAATTTCTTGTTCGGAGCACTCTTGAGAATCATAGAACGCTGACTGACGGACTACACTCACCTCGAGGTAGCTTCGCCTGTCTCGCCTCGAGTGGGGCTCTGAGCTTCTCCATAATCTGAGTCACAGGGGGAGTTGGCTATACGCGACGTGATATGATATGCGACACATACCTTATGCTTTGCCCCAGCAACGTTATGGGCCTCTGCTCCCTCCGGGATGGCTTCGACGACACCACCGAGTTTGCCTAGCTTTCCGCGCCGCGTCGACCATTCCTTTCTATCCACAGCCTCCCGCGCATGTTCTGTGAGGACATCCGGGTGAAGCCCGAAGTGATCTTCGTATAAACCGGCATCACTTCCTGTGATAGGTTAGCTTGACCTAAGAAGGCTCCATCGCAAACTTCAGCCACACACCAGGCTCGTCTTCGTCCTCTCCTCCAGGCGCGCCCTCTTCCTCTTCTGTCGCAGAGCGCGTTGCCTCTCTTACCTCTTCTGGGAGTTCTGGCGATGATTCCGCCGGGATTTCGTCTGAAGCAGCAATTTGCACAACGCGTTTCTTGTTGAGCTTCTCCGCAGGCTTGCACTCTCCGAACGTTCTCTTGCGTTTGCCTGCCTTAGTGGCTGAGACATTGAGTAACGTCAGAAGCCGCGTAGTTGTTGCATTTGGGTCTTCTACGGTCATCTTGGGCAAGTTCGGGGGCAGGGAGAGAACGTAGAGACAAGGTGACAAGGAACGACCTGCGCTGAAGCACGCTTCAGAGAATATCGTCCAGTAAACGATCGAGATCCAAGCTCCCGATCTTACAACACAGCTTAAACGCATGCTAGTGTGGTCTTTTTGCCAACTATCATTGGGTCGGTGGCGTAGTTGGTTATCGCATCTGTCTAACATGTTGTGTGCACAGAAGGTCCTCAGTTCGAACCTGGGCCGACTCATCTTTTGGTTCGAGTTGCATGCATTGGTTCCCTTTTTCCCACAGTACAACCTCCCGGCTTGTAACATGAATGGGTACAGGCTTGACACACACGACTATATTGCCAAGAACACAAGAGGTTAACAGGATCTGCTCGTTGTCGCGTGCCATCCAGGTGTCTCGCGCGGCACTTCCTCATCGCCACCGGATTACTCCGGCACCGCATTCGCCGAAGCATTCTGTTGTTCCGTCGTTCAATCGAGAGGGAACCTCGTCAGCTTCCCGTCCTTCCGGTGGTGCTCGAGTGCGCGGTAAGCAGTTTGAATCCTTCATGTCACATTGTATACAGTGCGAGACCCGAGCTTACCGTGGTGGAGGGTCAAGGTTCTGATATTGCTGGCGGATAGTACTATGCTTGGATCACGCTCGCTAGGAAGCCGCAGCGGGCCACTGCAAGTTCAAGTCGGACGATCTGCGAAAAGCCACGGACCCTCCCAGAAAACGCGCCGTTACACCGCCAACCTTCCAGCACAGGTTGATCTTTTTGAGCGTTACCGCGGGCTGGTAGCACTTGGGAAGATTCAGGAGGATGAAGAACAGATCCGAGTAATTATGCAGGTGCGTTTAAGTGGGTTTACATGCACACGGGTGCATATCGTAACCTATAGAGCATGTAGCTCAGGCGATTGTCAAAGACGCTTGAAGGTTACGCTCCGCCTGCACTACTTGCGCGGCATCTGAACCAAACGCACCTGATCTCCTCTGGTGCCGTTGAAGATCATGTGGCTGGCTCGAGCCCCTGGTGGGCAGCAACGGAACCGCTTCAAGAGGACACCGAAGCTTCAACGGATCTGGTACGAGTGCGAACTCATGCAGAGGAGATCGAAGCCCTCACCACTCCAAAGGTAAGTCCATATCCTCTTTCGCTGGTTGCTTTCGCTGAACAGCAGTTTTTCTCATCAGGGCCTTCTGATTACCGGTCCTCCGGGATCTGGAAAGAGCTTCGTGACGGATCTGTGGTTCTCAACCCTGCCTACACCCTACAAGACACGCAAGCACTATAACGAACTCGTGCTCGAGATATACCGAGCGGTTTGGGAAGAGACAAGACGTCGGATGACTTCTCTGTACGCCTCAGAGAAGTATATGCAACCTACCGACCAACCGTCACGTCCTTGGAACTCGGTCATTCGAGACAAATGGCGCCAACTTCTTGCCTCTGGTTCCCTTCCCATCCGCTGGATGCGTAAATCCAATATGTCATTCTCCCTCTCGCACACGCCTCTCGAGCCCTCCATCGCATATATTGTCGCGCAGCGCCTCATCCTGCGCCATTGGCTTCTTGTATTCGACGAGATCCAACTGCTGGACGTCTCAAGCGCTACGCTACTCGCTGACGTCCTGTCGTGGTTCTGGCGGATGGGCGGCATCATCGTGGGCACCTCCAACAAAGTGCCTGATGATCTGTACAAGAATGGCGTGCAGAGGGAACGGCTCGAGCCCTTCGTGGAGGCGCTTAAAGCACGCTCTCCTGTCGTGCTGATGCGCGCCGAGCGCGACTGGAGAGCTATCAAAGGTGCCGACGGACCCCGCAGTTGGTATACTGTAGGCCAACGTGAAGACTTTGAAGTAAAACTCCAGGCTCTCCTAACACATGAAAACAATGGTATGTGTCTAGCGAGTTTCTTAGCGGTTGTCAAGCTGACGGTTGGCGGCAGACGTCAGACCGACAGAAATAGCGGTGTTTGGGCGCAAAATACACGTTCCCTGGTCTTCCGGTGGAATATGCAAGTTCACATTCTCGGAGCTATGCGATGCAGTGCGTTACGGTCTCGTTATCATCGGCCTGCCTCTCTTAAGCTCATGATGACTTACAACTACCAGTCGCTCGGCCCTGCTGACTACATGACCCTCGCGGCGAAGTATCATACCTTCATCGTCACTTCAATACCTGTCCTCAAGCTCTCTGCCAAAAACCAAGCTCGCCGTTTCATCTCGCTTATTGACGCGCTTTACGAGGCCAGGTGTCGCATTGTATGCCTCGCCGAGGCTCGCCCCGAGCAGCTCTTTTTCCCGGACGCCCCATCCGAGACAGTCGACGGCCGTTCGAGAGAAGACGTGGATGTTATGATGGCAGAGGCTGTCGGGGAAACACAGGACGTTTACCGACCGAACGTTTCCTCATACGACGCCCCGGATATGGAACGTGAGCGTACCCCTACGGCGCCCCTCGCCCTCGACAAACTGTCGATCTTCTCCGGTGCGTCGTCGAGCTATGGTTTATCCATTGGGGCGTTCACCACCTGACCTATATATTACTGGACCAAACCAGGAAAGGACGAGCAGTTCGCGTTCAAGCGCGCGCTTTCGCGCCTGCTCGAGATGACGAGCGAGAGCTACGCCCGCGACGAGCAGTGGGCCCCTCTCCCGCCGTCAGCGCGAAAATGGGAGACGTCGTCCGCGTTGTCTCCCTCCCCTTCTCCCCCCCACCATCCGTCAGACGACCAGCCAACCGCTCCCCGCTCGCGCCCTTCCGAGGACTTCGCTGAGGAGGCGTCCGCAGAGTCCTCGCCCGCGCACCCGGCCGACCGCCCGCCCGCGCCCCGCCTCAGCGCGGACCACATCTGGGGCGTGCGCGAGGACTGGGGCCCGCGCGCGCGCGAGTGGGGCCGTGGTGCGAGCGTGCACGCCCCCACTCAAAGTCCCAGCGCCCCCGCCGCCGCGAGGCCCGCGACCGTGCGTCCCAAAGTGTCCCGGGATCCGAGAGATTCGAAGGCGCAGAGCACAGAGGGGCGTGGGGGAGGTGCGGCCGCGCAGGGCGGAGGCTCAGGCGGCTCAGGCGGAGGCGGCTCAAGTTGAGTCCGTCGTGGGCCTCGCGGACGCGTGCAGGCGGAGCCGTGCCCGTGCGCAGCAGCCCTTGAGCAGCCTGCGGCTTGGCGGGGCGCGCACGTCCGTCGGTTACGGTCGGTGACGCGTGCCCGTGCGCGCCCACGGGCCCGCGGCCCTGACGGACGCCCCGCCGCTAGCGCAGCTCGCCGCTGTGGCCCCGGCGTGTCTCGTGAATGCGGTGCGTTCGCGTTGCCCGTGGAGCAAGGCGGCGGATTTAGTCACGGCAAGCGGGCGAACCGCCCGCCTCGGCGACGTGGTCGCCCTCACCGGCGCGGACCTGCCTTTCGTGCTCCGCGACGTGCTGTCTCAGGCGTGGCCGGTGACCTCGTGCGCGCGCACGGCGCGCGTGAGGTACGTAACGCTCGCTCCAACCTTCGCCTCCCGCACCGTCACCGGCTGCGTGCTAGGCGTGACCTTTTGCGCAGCAGGGGTCTTAGGCGTCGATATTCCGCGGCCGTCTGACTGTTCCAATGTACCTACTTCCCGTACGCGGTCACATTTGCTCACGCAGGCGTTGATCGAATAATCGCCGTTGAGATCTCAGGAGGGAAAGTGTGGCTTCATATAACGTGTATCAAGTAAGGAGCGACGGCAGTGAGTACATGCGGAGAGACGAAGGCGGCAGGGAGATAGGAGAGCAGAGCAGGAGGAGATCTAGAGGGACGGAGGAGAGATAGCGAGGGGTGGAGGGGTTGGGACCATAAAGATATGTACGTACGTCTCGACAAAATATGAAAACGCAGGACAGCGGTATGGAAGACGCAGACTAGATACATGCGAAGACGAAAACGTGCTCAGACCCGAAAGCCAGCGGAGATGGGAAGGAGGAAACGGTCAACGATAACCAAGCAGTGGTAACGATGGCGGGAGGAGGAGAGGGGCAGGAGGAGTGCGAAGGCTAGGAGAAAGAGGACGTTGTTGTGAACACAGAGCGTGACCGAACCATACACGAAGCATAGCGGGATGAGTCGGGTGAAGCCATGAGAACGATTGGACATTATACGAGGGCGGGGAGGATTAGACACAGGGATATACAGTATGTGAACTGCCTGTTCCCGCGGCGCGCACTCCAGTGAGCGTGCCGCCGCAGGTAGGAGCGGGGGGTGGCAGGGGTGGCAAGCAGTACATTATGGGGATGACAACGGACGAACGCTGGTGCTGATGAGACGATGATATCGACAGCTATCGACGGTCTAGGTAGTGGCTATCCTGCAGTGTGGTATATAGTACAATGATGAGATACGGTCATGTTTACCGGTGGGGACCAGTTGAGACAATATAGCAGTACTGTGTGCAGGTGCGGTGGGGGGCGTCGATGCCGAAAACTGGGGAACGAGGGTGAGAGGATTCGTGGGGGAGCCCGAGAGCCGTTCAGTCGCCGCGTCGGAGGTCCGTATCCAAAGTGATTCTCCGCGTGCGTGCCGATAGTCAACGCGTCCTGGTCCTCCTGGTGCTCGCCGGCGTCCTTGCGTAGCCAGCCGATACCAGGCCGTGCGTTCGGTGTGAGGTTACACGCTGTGCGTAGCGCAGATAGATCCGCATACAACTCGGTGACATATGCCGCATGACAGGCCGCGAAGCGCACGCTATGGAGTTCCGTCCTGCGGGGCCCTCCTTCGCGACAACTGTGTGCGATCACTGGACCAGCGAGCGAGCGTTCATGGGTGCAGTCGCCATTCACGCCAGGCGTCCGAGTATCTCGCCAAAGAGCTTGTTCAGCGCCCAGAGCGATGTGCGAGTTCCGATGAAGCGGCGTGCTTTGAATGTGTCGGGAACGTCCGGATACAGGGGCATGGGGTATACGCGTCTAGGCGACCAAGTCCTACAGAGCGAAATGGAGATGTACGTATTGGCGACGCTGAGCGGCGGGTGACGAATGCGGGACATGCGGGAAGTGACAGACACTGACAGCCCGGGTATGGCGCCTGCGGATGGCAATGCGTGGGATTGGCGTCCAGTTGCCGGAGATGTGTAGAGGGATTCGGGGGCGGCGGCGAGTCGTCGATGATACGTGCGATTGCGACGCGAATTTGTAGGCGTACGGTGGCACGAGGAGCAGAAGTCGACGAATGTGGGGAAGTGTGACGGGGACGGCATCGACGATGGCAGATGGTTTCGGTTGGGCGGTAGGAT